ACACAATTGGGGAACGTCTATGAATATGATTGTATGTCAGTGTGTATGTGTGTGTGTGTGTGTGTGTGTGTGTGTGTGTGTGTGTGTGTGTATAGAGATGGTGTAATGTCTTTGTTCTAAAGCGAGGGCACACTTAGCAGACAACACCAGATGGTGGACTAAAATGAGACAACGGAAGAGGGGGAGGAGGAGACTGACAAGATCCTTCCATCATTTCATCATCAACCTTCTTCTGTTTCCTCTCCGTAAACACAAACAAGCTGGCATGAGCCCTCACATCAAACCTTTAAAAACGTAGTCATATCACTGTTTCAAGTCTGATAAAAGGTGGTTTAAAAATATTGGGAATAAGGTTTGTATAAATCAACAATATTAAACTCATTAAAACATCTTAAGAAATGATGATAAATTCATCAATCTTTCCAATCTGCCTCTTGACAGTACTTATCAGAAAAACACCTTTTCTACTTTTGGAGGTCGTAAAAAGTTAAGACACCTCTTTTAGTTTTTCAATAATGATGGGAAAACTTATCCTTAGCACAGACTGACAAAGACAGACTGTACAGGGCAGCATGACAAAATGTTTGAAAAATGTTCATGACCACGCCAAGTGAAAATGCTTTAAAACGTCTTCAAGTGATTTCCATATAAAGATTTGAATGTCAATGTTACATCTTTATGCATGTTATAGTGAATTCTGGCTCTTTTCAAATTCATTTTTTTACAGATGTCATAAGGGAGGTCAATGTCCTTTAAACACAACAATAAAAGCAACATGAGTGATGTTATAAACCATAAACAAACCTCCACCACGACTGAGTTGGTTTGCTGCCAAACATGAAAACACTTTCGATAAGGGTAAGAAACAATCCTGAGACATTTCCTCCTTTTGATTGTGACCAAGTTTCTGCTTCAAGTGATGAACTTTGTGTATGTGGGGGTCATTTTACGAAAGAAGGTGACACTCAGTTATTAAAAAAAAAAAAAAAAAACGGTCTGCACATGGCTGACCTCTGCAGCAGCAAAAGGTCTGCAACAAAATTGGCAGAGTTGTTTGGAGGGTTTGTGTGAATGTTATGAAACTGAAACTGTAAAACCTGTAAAACATTCCACCTACTGAGGTGTGAGGACACGACAAGACTGATGCTTGAATTTGAGGCGTGAAAATGCACTCTGTTTCATGAGACTTTTGTTGTACTGTCAATAATGCGAGTGTGACTTGCAACAAACGTTGTATGATGTTCAACCACAGAGGATGGAAAAAAATAATCAAAACAGCTAAAAATGTCAACTTCAACATAGAAGTTGAGTTTAAAGGTGAAACACAACGCTGTCAGTCTCTTTACCTTGAAATACTGCACTGCCGTCATATGCCTCCGCAAACCAGTCCAACTTCACTCCACATACTGTGACCACTCGTATCAACTCATCTTTGAGTGAATGTGAAAAATGGTCAAAAATGTTAATTTGCTGACTTAAATATTATCTTCAAGAGGCCAGAAACATGTTTTGTGAGGCCACTGTGACCTTTGACCACCCAAATATAATGTTCAGTTAATCGGTGAACCTAAGTGAACATGTATTCTCTTACTCTAAAGAATACTCTCAATGTGTTCTAAAGATGACGCGTTCATGAGGGAAAAATCGTTTTATGAGGTCACAATGACATTTACCTTTGACTTTTGACACCAAAATCGAATCAGTTCATCATCTCTGAACAGTTTTACTAAATCTGATTCAATTCTCTTGCTGTGTTCTTGAGTTTGTGTTCATAAGAATGGGAAGGATGGACGGACAAAGAACCTAAAAACATAATGCCTCTGGCCACTGGCTGTCCCCAGCAGTAAAATAAAGCAGTTTTTACAACAAACACAAAATGTTTCAAGTTAGGAGAAGATAGTGCTGGAGGTTAGAAAACTACAATAACTGTTGGTCAAAGTCAGACAAAATACTGTGTGTCTAATCTCACATGCCGACCTCCTGCCTACGAGCTTGTGGCTTTTATAATGAAATCCATTTCTTCCATTGTGAGAGAGGACGACAAGACGGCAGTTGCCGAGAGAACAAAATGCTAAATGTGCTGTAAATGTGCTATACTTTTCCAATAATTCCTATTTCCCATTTGTCCCACACAATTTCCAATGAAATGAGATGTAGATCATTCACATTCAAAGCTCCCTCTGGTTGGAATAATCATGCATTTTTTTCTCCTAATCATTGTCATCATGTGATCTTTATTTTCTCATGTTAAAACACCCTGTCTGTGCTTTTAATTTACTATCAATGTCCTTTTTTCTATAGCTTATTCATTGAAGTCTTTATTTGTTGTTGTCCAGTAGCTGAGGTCTTGGGGTATGAGTGGCAGAGTGTGAGTGAGCAGCCAGTATTTGTGTATTGGTCGTGTATGTAATGCTGTTGGATACATATTTGCATGTGTTCTTAATTTTATAATTTGAGAAAAGATGTCTCAATAAATAAAAAACACCATGACTCTAAATAAACTGTTGGGAACATGTTTACTGCCAACACATTCCTGACCTCTTCTGTTTCCCCTTCTTTCACATTTGATTAATATATATGTCACAAAACAAACAAAAGTATCTTACGCTCTAATATGCAACTATACGCCCGAAGAAAGAAAAGAGACGGGTTGAAGAAAGAAGGGAATAACATAATTTGTTTCTACTCTCACCATTAAAACAGATGGTAATGATGACTACCACTGCACTGAAATACCCCTCTCACCCCCAACCCCACCCATCTCTCTCTCTCTTACTATATCACACCCCGTGTTAAATTTCACAGTTTCACTGTGCAGAAAACTGTTGTGGCTGTTGAGCAAACACCATCAGCTGTTAATTAGACAGAGGTGAGTTCTCGTGGGGAGAACTGTCAGCCAGGAAGAGAGGGTGAGGGCGAGAGACAGACACTCAGAGAGAGGAGAGGCAGGAAAAGTTTGTTGACTGTACAGAAAGAACAGAAAAGAAACAAGAGTATTTTCTCTCCTGCACAGACACACACTCTGTGAAACACAACAGGGTCACTTGGGATATCCAGTTCAAGCAAAAGGGATTTAACAGTTCTATTCTTGTTATGAACAAGTGAGTGCGACGGAGTAAGTATGTGTGCGAAACATACGGGAACAATGAGAGGTCAGTTTCCTGACAGTGAAGATTTGGTTTAATATGTGTCCATGTTTTATGCCAACCAGCTTAAGGTTTACCAGCTGTATTAAAGCTATAAAATCACAGCAAATTACTGTGCAACAAAGATAAGTCATCATGTTAAATGAATATCGTTTGGGAGCTGCCAACAGACTCTTGAGAGATCTGTTCACTGTCTGAAAGCAAATGGGCCAAACAAAGTATTTTTTTGACGATGGAAATCTTTCAAATCCTGCAATCTTTCAAATATGATGATACGAAAAAGCTAGCCAACTAACAATCGTTTGCTGACTCTGAACACTTAGGAAGTAATATTGGCAATATTATAATCATTTGTAAACAACGCTAATCCATATTCCCTTCAGCAAGGATTTTTGGCTGGAGTTTGTTTTCCCCACACGTGTCTTGGTGATAGGGGATCACAGTGACAGGCCTGTCATCAGTGAGTTACCTTTTACTCTGCATAACAATCTGCTGTTGTTTTGCCCAGTTTACACCAACAGTTCATCTGAGAGCCAGAAAATATCATGATGAATCGCCGACCAAGAAAGCTTTCTAGAATAGTTTGCTGTGTAAAAGAACAGTGGAACAAGTACTGCTGAAGTGGTTTTGATGGGACACACGTAACAGCCCCGGTCATTACAGCATGATGGGTGCCATGGAGTTCAGACATGCGTGCATTGAGAAACTCTGGACAAGATACGACAATCCAAATGATCGTAAATGTTAACATATGTACAAAATCCGGCATATTGCTCCCTTTCCTGTCCGCAGAAACAGAATTTCCTATGGGGCTCAAGGTCGCATGCATGTGTGTGTGTGTGTGTGTGTGTGTGTGTGTGTGTGTGTGTCTAGAACTTCCTGGCATCCGTTGAGGAAACATCAGTCGATAAGAGCGAGACGCAGAGATACAGAAGGAAAAGAGGCACAAAAGGCAACATTAAAGGAAAATAAGAGACAGTGAGAGATGGAAAATATCAACCAAAGACATGAGTGAGCTGTGGAGATGGATCAAATGAAAAATGACAAGTCGTGTAATCTAAACCTATTGTTATTCCCTTTATGCTCGTGTGAATGTGTTTGCAAGTGACACCTCAAAGTTGTAGGTAAAATTGAAAGTCATCACTAAAAGAGCTGATATGATAGAAAATTACCTCAGAGAAGAAACACTCTAAGGAAAAGGGGTGTCTACAGAGATACAAATAGAGTGAAAGAAAATACAATAAGGAAAGTCAGCTACTGTATTAAGAGCAAACAGCAGCAGGTTATGAGACTGTCAGGAGAAAAGGAAAACATATATTTACGTCTACAGAGCTGTAATTAACATCGGTGCATGCACACAAGTTGATCAGACATTAAGGTTAAAGGAAAAAGCATGGAAAAGATAGAACAAGGGTGAATAGAAGAAGTGTTTATTGAATTAAAACAGTGTTGAAATTCAGCAGAAAGAATATGATCATATCAACAGCTTTACAATATATTTCTTGATTCAATGGAGTCTTTTTAAACACTGTAGTACATGAATGTTTGTTTTAAAGTGAGAACATTATTATACAGGAAAGTGTATGATCTTTCATATAATTCAGAAAAGCCCTCAATGAAGTTTGAGGTAAATGTCTATGACCTTCCTATAGGCTGCTGAGCTGAGCATCATCAAGGCAAGCCTGTTGATTGGACCAGAAATTGTAAAATTAGAGGGAGGTGAAATATCCAGCTGAAAGTCGATGGTGGCTGATCCTCTTTCTCAGTTTTCCATATAAAAGGTAACGGACTCACCACTAAACCAGAAGGTCTCATTTCATTGGCTGCCAATACAACATTGTGATTGGTTCTTACCATCTCTCTGGGCAGGAACATATCCTCCTGCCGCAGGACCACCAGGCACACACTCTCTCCCTGCCGAGTGCTGCGTAGCATACACACCAACTCCTCCTGGCCCACGCCTGCAATATCTACACCGTTGACCTGCACACACACATTTCAGCACTTGTAGCATTTGTAATGTTCCATTTATTGCTTTGCATCTTTTTTTATGTCCCAACTGTAATATTCTGGATTTGAGTGATGCTGAAAAAAGAAGTCATCCAAACCGGTACCTCAAGTATGCGGTCTCCAGACTGCAGGCGTCCGTCTTTGACGGCGGCTCCACGTGGCAAAATGTTCTTAACAAGAATCGGACCAGGACCATGAACTGAAGAGTCTCTGGTTACGACGGTAAAACCGAGACCTTCTGAACCTAGACACACACACACACACACACACACACAGAGAGAGAGAGAGAGATGAGGGAAGGTAAATTGAGAGATGATGTACAATGTGCAGGCAACACTCCAAGGTCAATATCAAAACACAAAATATGTGTATAGCTGCTCACTCCCTGCCACTATTTATCTTTCAGCTACTTTGAGAGCAGAAATCTATCCACTCTCTCTCACTCTCTCTGTGATATGTGTTTTTCAGTGTGTGTGTGTGTGTGTGTGTGTGTGTGTGTCTGCATGCATGCATGCGTGTGTGTGTGTGTGTGTGTGTGTGTGGTTTTTAAACCCTTTAGCTATAGCTGCTGCTCCAATATCTGCAGGTGTGAAGGTTTTAAAAACGGGTTCAAGTGGGGGGCAGAGAGGAGGACAAGAAACGAGGGAGCGACGAGGAAAAGGTAAAAGAGGAATGAGTGCAACACAGTGGAAACGAGGAGTGAATGTTGTGGAAAGAGAAGCGATGAAGATTAAAATAGTAATCAGTGAAAAACAGGTCCACGTAATGTGTGTGGAGGCATTCACAGACATGCACACGTGTACAAAAAGGCCACACACAGACAGCGAGAGACCGGTTGTGTGTTTTATAGACCTCATTTAATCTGGTCTCTTTAGCAGAGCCAAGTCAGCAGTTTGGTCCAGTATGAATTCATATCAGCAGAAATGAACAGATCAATAAAGACTTAATAGACCCTGAAGAGAGGGAATCAGGAAGATGGAGAGAGGGAGGATGAGAGGAAGGAGAGTCAGCCAGAGAACAGGGAGAGGAAGATTTATAGAAATAAGCACAATGCTGGGCTGAACAGCGAGAGACATAAAGCGGGTCTATTATACACAGTCAGTGTATAATGAAAGGAAACAAAGAGAGGGAATAATGGAAATTCAGAAAATGACAGAATTAATGTGAAAGGGGAAAAAAACGATTTAATTGGAACAAATAGAGTACATAGAGATGAGAACAGATGTGCCTATATTAACTTTTCTGGCTCAACCTGAAGCTGTAAAACTAAAGTGCACACATTTTATTCATTGAAATCCTATTCTAGACTGAAAGGGCTAGAAAAAGTCAGCATTTGCACGGATACTAAAATATGTGTCTTTTGAAAGTAAGCAAACTTTTGTAGATGTTTCAGGATTTATAACAAAGAAAAGTTCTTGCACAGCTCTTCGTCTCAAATGTCCACACATTATTACTGAAGTGTGGGAAATAGACATTGAAGAGGGCTTCAGTCTTTCGTTCTCTAGGATGAGTAAGTGTACTGTATTAAATTTAGAGAAATTTACTAAGAGAACAAATTTAAAAGATCAAATATAAAAAAGGAAGGACTTTTCAATTCCCAGGGAACTGCAGTGTCAAATTTGGTGTGTTTTGAACACTTATACATTCAATATAAATAAGCTTTGAATAAACAGGTGACCAGTGCTCTGTAGCAGCGGTAGCAGGGACTCATCAACGTAAGTGTGCCCTCACAACGGCAACAACAACACTTTGGGTTTGGGAGTCAAGCTTCACAAGCTTTGAATAAGCAGATGAACAGCTCTTCGTGCAGCAGCAGTGGCTCAAATACTTCATATCACTTTAACAGCTTCAGAAGAGAGCTGCAGGCAGCATCACCACAGGCCAAGCTAACAGCCTATTCCAAACAGGCAGGTTTAGACTGGGCACTCCACTAATTATTCAAGAATAAACATTCACAGAACAATGCAGATTGAGACCCACACAGAGCAGGAGGGAGGCTGTTAATCCAGGTCTTTCTCACCTTTCTTTAAATCGATCCTCAGTCTTCGTCCTCCTCTCTTATTGGCCACCAAGCTGGAGAGAGCAGGACTTTTCTTAAGAAGGGGGCTCTCGCTCCTCCCTTTGGGGGTCTGGGTTGAAAAAGTACAGCATTCAAGTCAATTTTACAAAATTAAAATGCACTAACACACACAGAAAAAACAAACGTATGTACAGTGTTTTTTCTTTTTTCTTGCAGAGTTCTCTAGAACATGGTTTTGCTTTGTCATTGTAGGTATCATGGGAGATTGATAATTAAAATGTATTAATATTGAGCTGGAAGACTGTGATCCAAATACAATGATTAAAAGGGAATAGGAAGTATTACATAAATTAAATGTAGTGTGCCAACTGCACATTAGTATATATGGAAGCACACTAACAGATAATGTAGAGCCCAGCTATATGTTTAAGAAACAAAGCTCCAACATCTGCATCGGAAAAAAAACGTCTTTCTTTCAAATAAAACAAGAGGATAATTAACTGTTGCTAAGTAACTGTCGCCTCTATGCCAGCTGTTTCTCAAATGTCAGCCGCGTCACCATGGTGATGCTGACGCCACAATTGCATGTGTTTGAATGAGAGAGACTTTATGATTCAAGTAAAAAGATTTGAATCAAGCGAAGGAAGAAAAGATGAGGAGGGATTCATAGTGTTTCCACAAATTTAACATCGTAATAGAATACAGATGTCATAAATCAAGTACAAATACGTACACTCTTATATACATGTGTGTATAAAAAGTGGAGGGGAGATTTTCTGGCCGCAAAATAAAAAATTATGACATTTGATCTTCAAATTGCTTCATATTTACGATGAACAATCTTAAAATTTTGGAAGGAGGAAGGCTTGATGATTGAACAGTAATTAACAAAAGTGCAGAAGACAGAAAAGTAGAACCTAAAATAAAGTTACTTGTTCCAAATACATACAGATGATTTCACATCTGTAGATAAACTTACAGAGACAGCAGTGTCCAGAGTAGCAGCTTCCTCTGCCAGTCGCATGGCTGGATTCTCAGGGAGCTTAAACACAGGTTTGGCTTTGATGGGCGGTGGCGGCTCTTTGGTCTTGGCAATTCTGGGGCTGTGATCAGGACCGGCGCTGTTGCCAAACAGCTGACCAATCAGACTTTTTTCATAACGCTCTTTGTTGGAGGAGGGAACTACTTCCAGGCGGACGACTGGGGAACGCATCGCCTGACGAAAGACTTCCTGGGCTCTGGGAGGGTGAGGCATTAGAGGGATAAAGAGAAAAAGAAAGACAGATAGAGAAAAAGGATAGAAACAAGTTGGTGTAGGTTTAAGTTGTGTGTACTCCATACACATTTACCACTAATACTAATCATGGCATTAATCACATTCACAAACTATTTACACACAGTACATAGTTATCAATTTCTGACAAGCAGAATCATTATCAATGGATCTATATCTCTATTAGGAAAAAAAATAAATTAAAGATAATGGTATACGTCAGATTGCAGATGACAAATTAAAAGAGTTCCAGTTAATTGCTAATGATTATAAATGGGCTGATCAATTTTCCAAAATTGCATAAGACCACAGCATATTTGAGGTTCATGTTTTTTATCTTTACTGAACTGATTCTAAATGATTATCATTTCTAAGACAGATGGGTATGACTAACAATTGTGTTTTTATTGGAAGTTAATTGTTTTCAATAAATCAACTGATTTTCTAGTCTCTAATGACAAAAGCGATGAAAAATGATCATCAGAAGTTATCAGGACTGATGGTGCTGACTCAAATGTGCGTTTTTATGTTACAGGTTATAAAGAAGTTATAATCCCATTAACAATTATATGAAAGAGGAAGGAAAGAAGCCACTACTCCATCTGACCCACGTTCAGCTCATACTAAAACTGCTACTTGATGAGTTTTGCTAAGCTGTAGTCTGCACTACTTGATTTTTGGCCCCATTTTCCAGTCGCCGTCAAGTTTTGGAAGTCACTGACAAAAGCCCCAGATTGGAGTCAAAGAGGCGTTTCATCAGCAGTTGCCAAACACTTAGAGTAACACAAACTCTGTGCAGCTTATATCCACTGCATCAGGCTGTGGTAGCAGGAGAATCATTCATACTCATCATGTGTGTGTTTTCACGACCAAATGTAGTTTAAAGAGCAGATATACAAGTCAGGGCTTTCTCCCGGTGAAAGATTGTGTTGTGTAAACTTTGTGAGACATTTCAATCAAATCAACTTTCCAGATTTAAAAATGAAGTTTTTCCAAGTTTCCATTAAAAATAAATCTTAAAATGAAACATTGATCAAGTTGTATTACATGAACTCAACTTCATGGTTATCTAACTGGATTATATTGCGTATCGTTACTTTCTTCCTTTTTGCTTATATTTCTTTTTCCAGTTGTCAGTGATTTTGATGGCTCTCTGCTTTTGTATCTGTTTTATCTTCACTGAGTTCTGGAGATGACAGAACAAGAAATACTACACAGAAGTATGACACCTGTGCAGCCGGCCATTTTAGTCCTGTGATCTATAAAAAAGATAATTTCACAGACAATTAGTTTATATAAGATTATGCTAAGTAAGTTAGAGGGACCATTGTGTCAGAAGGGATGGGCACAAACCATCATTCACCCCAGATAACCGAGAGAGAAAATCCAGTTTGTTTAAATTCTATTGGATTACACCCCTATTGTTTCCCGCCTAGCTTATTATTACATGTAATGATCATAATGTTTCCGTAACTAGAGACTATGTTTGGAAAGTCGTGTATGAAGGACAGATTTGTTTTAATAGATTAGATATGCAATAATAATACATGACTAAGTTTGACATTAATCTAAGAAGACTACCCATGGATATAAATCGAATAAAATGACATTGTGGGAAAGTTTCTGTCTGAATCTTCAGAGGAAATCCACTTTGCACAAAGTGCATATATTATACATATATTCAGTGTTCAAGTATAAAAAATGCCAGCCTTCATACTTCTGTACTGTACTTCAGTACTGATCATACACTGATATTTGTTTCTAATATGTATAAACATGGATACATACAAGAGCCAATTTCCAAACAAAGTAGGGATGCCATAATATAAGATTTTCATTTAACAATTATTGTGACCAAAGGTATGAATAACAATAATTATAAACTGAATTTTTCAGTTTTGGGGGTTTGTGAACCAGATAGTTATCATGATAAAAAGAAACAGAAATTATTTAAAAGGCGCTGGATATACTATATAAAAATTATCATTTTCTATGAATTATATAAACATTATATCAATAATTAATTTAAACATTTTTCAAATTGTCCTGCTTTTTTTCCAAGATATCGTGACGGCAGTAGCACTAAGTAAGCATGATTTCTCAGAAAGTGTAACTTTGTGTTTGAGGAGGGGTGTTCATTCTTCTCTGACAGGATTTGCATATTGAAACTGTTTAACAAACTAAGCAGTCTAGGCAAAAACTTGTGTCCCTCCTTGCAGAATGACACTGGAAGTGATTTTAATTGTATTGAGACCACAATACAGCACAATGAAACTGGATCTGAAAGCTGAGTGTGTTGATGCATGTGCACTGGGAACATTGTGCACCAATGATATCATTATTGTTTCTGGCTGGACGACACGTGCAAGCTCATTTGAGTAAAAAAAGATATTCTAATCAAGTATGCTTCGTCAATACAGCTGCCAAGTGGGACAATGGCAAAAGGTGTGTGTGTGTGTGTGTGTGTGTGTGTGTGTGTGTGTGTGTGTGTGTGTGCACATTACTCACTGGGGTCAATGCACTATCAATGACCTACTTACACATATTGCACTGGATCTTATGCACATCTCAATATACCAGTCACAACAGAACAATACTGGCAAGAGTGTGTGTGTGTGTGTGTGTGTGTGTGTGTGTGTGTGTGTGTGTGTGTGTGTGTGTGTGTGCGTGTGTGTGTGTTTTTGAAAGGTAGGAAATGGGCTGGATAATTAAAGAGTCTTTGTGTTATTGAAATGTATCAATGTTCTTGACATGCTTGAGAGTGTGTGTGTGTGTGTGTGTGTGTGTGTGTGTGTGTGTGTGCTGCTGTTTGTAAAAGCGTGAAGATACACCATTTACTGAACAATGGGTGCAAACCCCTCCAGTGATAATCCCTTTACCTACAGTAGAACATAAAACACCTCACATATAATCTCATTACCACATTGAATACTGGACAAGGACTGTTGTGGGGACTATATAGAATTTGTAATGTGTTGTAATCATTATAACATCCACATCAGTCCTTATTATTTGCAGCAATTATTTTCACAAGTGTGTCTTTTGTCATTTTAATGCTCCGTAATCATAATCCAACACCAAATCTCATTTTATTAAACGTTGTTTCAGGTGCTTCAATGCAACAGTAAGCAAACTGCAGTGAGAAACATATGGTCTCCAACAAATCTTCAACACATCTTTCCTTTGAGTAATGAGATTTAACGCACAGATGCACAAAGACCAGCTCTAACAGACAAACACTCAACTTGGGAGTGTTGCTCTCCAAACATCTGCGTGTTTTCCACCATTCTCTTTGATGGCAATACAACTGTGATGTGAACCCTCTGACAATGGAAAGCTACAACAACAACACAGAAAATGACACAAAAGCAGGGAAGAGAAAAAAAAATCATCTACTAAATCTGACAATTAAAATCATTCTATAGTCCTGATCTGTTGAGTGTATTTCAAAGATGGACGCCGCATTCTCAATTCTGCAAATGAACGCTGCCATCTTGCACATCTGCAGCCATACTCTGTGCAGTAGCAATAGGGAGGACAGAGCTGTGGTAGGAAGATTTGCCGATACACGCTCCACCAATCACGAGTCAGTCTCAGCTGTCAATCATGTCATTTCACCTCATTTTTATCATATTGGTTAACTGATTAAAACCAAACTTACTGGAAAAAAGAGCAGTTGAACACACATCACTGTGCTAAGAAATACTTACAAGGACAGACACTTGACATGTACTCTGTCTCATGCACCAATCGCTAACATGGAGGAGGCAGCATCTATGACCAACACTGCAGCCAACCATTAGGTGGCGATCAAGACGTGTGAGACTTCCAATAGTTGTAATATGAAACATTAGAAACACTGTTTAGACAGCCATATTCATTTTATTCTCTAATATCCTTGGGATGTGGTTTTGCAGCTACTGAACTCATCACAGAGGAGTATGTTGAGCTCCTTGGCAGAGCACAGACAAGCTGTTGCACTCACTGGCTAAATGTCTTGTCCATGAGGTTGGTGTTGTTGATCTTGACGATGCACTCGTCGACTTGAAACAAGCCCTCCTTTCTGGACCGGCTCTCCTCCTCCACTCCACGGATGAACAGACCCAGGGACCTGAAAGCAAACAAGGAGAGAAAATGAGCTTACAAGCTGTATCAAATGTTGAGCATGTTCCCATTGGTTCCCCAGCTGTTTATTCATCCCTGAAAGCATGCGTACATGCTTTCTTAAAATGACTTCTGTTCTGACTGTGTGTGCGCCAAAAGACTTATTATCCATATGGTTTATTTAGGCAGAGCAATGCCAGATACAACTCCTAACTGTCAGTCGCTGCCTGTTGTAGATTCTTATTGGTGCTCATATGATCCACAGTTACAGATAAAACACAGTGTGTGAGCAGAGTGGCTACAGTTGCATTTAGACAGGTCGGTCTCAGAAAACACAAACACAGTGACAAGATAAAAAGGCAATCAGACATGTTAAATGTGATGGACAGGTAGGTGTGGGAGGAGGATAGCCTGAAAAACAAGTTCAGCATCCTCAGTCCATAACGTCCACCGTTTCCTCGCCAAAGCAGAAATGATGACAGTGACACACAAAAGAGTCCAGCTCCACAAGGATGAATGTAGGTGAAAAGGTGAAAGAGATTATGGTAAATAGTGGAAAGAGATGTAGGAGGGGTTCAGGAAAGAGGGAGGACAGGACACAGAAAAAAATTGGAAAAGAGAGGAAAAAGAGAGGAGAAGAGAGAGAGCAAGATGGGAAAAGAGAACGAGAGAGAGAGAGGAATTTAAGGAGGAGATTGGCGGGGTCAGGTGAGTCATGAGAACAGACATAAAAATTCATCCTGCTTTCCTTTAGGAAATCCCCCATCCACTGTTTGACGGTAACACACCCAAATAAAAGCCCTGCATAGCTGTGGAATTCTTTTTCATTTTTTTCCCATTGTGTGTATGTGCATGCAAGCGAGAGTGGATGAGCGGTTGCCATTTATATGTTTATATGTGATGCAGTGCAGAAACCAGAATGCCTTTACTATTGCAGAATAGGATTATGGGAATAGAACTCACATTCTTAAACAGTAAACAGACAAGGTTTTCTAAGGTTGACTTACGTAGATCAGCATATGTTTAGTTTGTATGTATAACCTATGTGACTGAGTGTGTGAATGAAGGTTGCAGCAGTATTTGTGTTTCACAGTATTGCATGGTATGAAAATGTATGGTTTTCCCACCATGCACATTTGCTTATAGCAGTACTGAAAGAAAGTGAGCGGAGAATCTCACCAGCACAAAACATGTGCGCATCTGTTTTCCTCCACATTGTGTCAACTGGAACAACACAGAGAAAATGGCAGAGAGAAGTGGCATTGATAATCTCAAACCCTCAAAAGGAAACTGAAATCAGCAATGTAAGCTCACTTTGCATATCCCATATAATATAAACCCGGAGTTGTCATATTCAGTCTGCAGGATAAGTGGAAGTAGAGTAACTGCCACAGGATGGAACACTTGTGTGACTGCTTAAATGTTTATCAACCGTAAAACCATAAAGCGCACTATTGAAATACTTTCCACATCAAAGATCCTGTCTGTTCATTTGGTAACCACTGATTTACAAAGGCAGACAACACAGACACACACACAGACGCACACAGGTACAGACAGGATTGGTCTGGCTGCTGTTGCACACATACAATGAATTGGTGACTATTTTTTAGATAACTTTGAGAATATTTCTTACTATATTTACATTCACAGGGGCCATTGTTTGGATAGAGTATGAATAACCTAAACATGTTCTAATCCCATGATATGTCTTAATTATGTTTATAACAACATTCATATTATTTATAATATTGTTAGAATAGTACAACCTTGTGTGATGCATTTCTGTGTACATAACTCACCGTCCACTGAGTGATGAGCAGTAAGGAACCACATGGATGCCCAGGGGACTGTCCTCTCCCAGGATCTCCACTGTTCTGGTCAGGCTATACAAACACACATACACACCAGACAATCAAATCAGTGGGAAACAAAACAATGTCAGCTCTTATATAAGTATAATCAAATGTCTGTCACACTACTGACATAGAATAACCGGTTAAATAAAATTGCTGTAAATGTTGGACATGTGAAGTGATTACAGAATTATATTCAGTATACACTTTTATACAATGTGTAAAATGTCTAATACAGGTTTCAGACATTCAAAGAGACAGGCAAGAAAAAGTGAGTCCATACATGGAAGCTTGACCCCCTTTGCTGCATGTGTTACACACTCTCTCTTCTTCTTTCACAATTTCCCTGTTGTTATCTAACTGAGTGAACCTTTATTTTATTAACCCTTTAAATGTCCCACAGGAACCATCCAACCACTGTCAATAATAATATTTGCTTTTAGAGATACTCAGTAGAATGATCAACTATTCAGGGACAAATCTGTGACATATTATCCCGGAGTAAACAGAATAAAAGCACGCTTGTGACATAAAAACCAGCTGATTGATACTTCATAGTTCACATATGCACACAATACAAAACATGAGAGAGGAAAAATAGGGGAAGAATAAAAGGTTGAGACAAAAAGGTCTGATCACAGAGTGTAGGAAAGATTTCACAGAAAAACGTGACAAAAAACCTTATTCAAAAAGTGTCTCCTGAGGTTAATATTGAAAACTACTATCGTTAATTGAAGTATTGTTTCCATGGACACATTCATTGTGCTAAAAATAGATTTTGTAAAGGATTTAATCCATGTCTGTGAACCCAGCCCTTAGAGATGGGATTGCAAACACTATTCAGAGTCCGCACCACTACATACTGCTCTGTGTGTGTGTGTATAAGTGTGTGTTTGTCAAAACTTTTTTGTGCCATTCATCTCTATGGGTTTCTTCTTCTCTTTGAATCTCTCAAAGTGAGAGTCTGCTTTGCATTCTGTCTGTGTTTTAATGTGTGTCTTTGTTTGTTTGATTAGTTTATCTATCAGAGCACAGCCATTAATCCTCTCCTGACCTTCTCTCTGCTCCCTCTGTGTGTGTGTGTGTGTTTTCTAAGTGAGTTTGTCTGAACTTAGTTTTGTGCTCTTTAGTTCTACCCTACTCCCTCTCTCTCTTTCTGTCTCTCTCTCGCTCTGTCTGCTGTTTTGTCTCCGCTCCGCTCTCTGCAGACCATCTATCCCTGAACATCCATGAACTGATAGCAGTGGAGATGCTGATAAACTCCGGAGAGGGTGGTTGATGATGGTGGGTGGTAACAGGGGAGAGATGCAAAGTGCAAAAACAACTCCTCCCTCTCTCTTTGTCACTGTCGCTCTTTTCCCATCATGCACACACACACATAAAAAGCTGCTGCTCCCTCGTCTGCATTGAGCACATTTGAGTTAATCTAGGACAGAGGGATGGAAGAGGGAGAGTGAAAGGTAGGCAGGAAAGGATATTAATAGAGAGGAAGGGAAAAAGATAGAAAAGAATGAAATCACTGGGGAGACAAAAGGATAAAGGAGTTTAAGGGGTGTGAATTAGCCACCTGTCTGTACCTTAGCCAGACTGACAATCTGGGACAAATCCTGGTAGGTTGCTGCATCGATGGGCTGGTAGACCGTCATCGACGAACTGTGACTGGGGTCAATAGTCGCTAAGCCAAGTTTCAACCTCAAGTTGAGCTTCAATAAGCTTAAATAAATCTAACCTCAGAACAGCGGTTGCCAAACCTCTGAAGATTGGAGAATAATGTATTTTTCTTCATTTAGGAGTTGGCAGCATATATGCCTGAATTACTCCCATGTTTTTTCACTTGCCATTGTCTAGCATACAGTAGCTAGCCAAACAAAAAACAAGCAGATGTTTGTGTGTTTGATGAGCAGATTTGGAGCTGCAGATGAGCGGCCGAAGGACAGATAAAGATAGGTACAGCTCATTTGCATAATCATAGATCTGTGATTAGTAAACCAGACAATGGTATAAAGAGACACCAACTCTCCAAATATATAAATGTGAGGAAAACAATGACTTTTTTGGGGTTCAAGCAATTGTGGAGGAAACCCTCACCGATGAACTGTAAGCACACAGTTTGAGCAGAAGCAGAGCAAATTTAAGTGCAAACAGGGGCTATTTGAGTGCAAGGGCAGGGTTTTGAAGTAATACACAATCTGAACATAAATTCCACAAGTCATGCACTCCAACAGAAATATCATGCTCTTGAATAAAGATAGGAAAAATAGTATGGCGGTCAAGGCACTCAATTTCACACAAGTGTGTCCCATATGGTCTAGCGGTTAGGATTCCTGGTTTTCACCCAGGCGGCCCGGGTTCAACTCCCGGTATGGGAATTTCTTTAATGGGGGAGCTCACATCAAGGACATGCACTACACATCCTCTAAGTGATGATGTTGAACTACTCATCCTCTGATTATAACAATAACCTGTATATATTATCCTGTTCATACTAAAGCAGTCATTTTAATTTTTACATGAGCATTTTCATATTTCTTTGTGTTCAAATTTGTTTAATTATTCATTGCTTGAATGACTTTTAATCATGGATGAACTTAAACTGTCCACATCAGCATGACAGGCTCACAACTACATTAAACACGCTCAGCAGGTATAATTTATAACCCTAACCATCTAAGTCTAACAGATGCTGACATTTGCTGTACTAATGAGGCTCATGTATTTAGCTTTACACAATTATTGTGAAAAAAACAGAGATTTTATTTTTTTCTGAATATCGTTAGCAGAATTTGCGCTAAATCCGGTATATCTTCTTATGTATACTAGCAGCATATCTACTTGATATAACTGAAGCCTCTGACATAATGATTACACACCTCAACACTGCTGGCTGGAAAGAGAAAAGGGGCAAAAAACCAGAGAAGGGTAGAAAACTGAAGAAAAAAGCAGGGCGGGGGGCAAAGCTAGGAGGCAAGGGAGAACTGGAGGCAACATCTAGTGAAATGAAGGGAGGAGAAGGCAGAGAATTAATTACACTGGGCTAATAAATGAATAGCATTAATATGAGAGGAAAAATAACAGCAACCCCTCCCTCTATCCCTTCCTAAGTCTAAGGCTCTGATCTCGAACACTCCCACTAGAACACACACACGAGTACACGAGCACTTGAGACCCATTTGCATTTCCCTTTTTTGATTTTTTTTGTGCAAGATGTTTGACAGGCTGCATCAATGCAAAAAATTAAGTGGGGGAGAGAGAGGCAAAATGGGTGAGACTTGAGAAACAAGTGAGGGAGTGTGATGTGTGAGAGAGAGAGAGAGAAAAGGCCAAACACACAGAGAGGT